GTTGGATCTTCTGAGGCTGGCCCTGCCACAGCGGGAGTTGCGGGCTCCGAACTCTGGACAGCTTTAAGAGCATGAGCCCGGCCCTTGGACTTGCGCTTCACATTACTTGTGAATCCGCAAACCATGGCTGCAAAACCAAAAACAGAGGTCAGCCATCAGAAGCACAAGTTAAAAAAAGCGGGGGTCAAGATCGGCTTACCTAATTCAGAGTTCGGTCTTGAAGCTTCGATGGGACGAACCGTGGAGTTGTAATCTAACAACCCCGACTCGAGCAGCAGCTTGTCGGTTACCAAGGTTCCGACCTTCCTGCCCTTCGAAAAGTGCTCCTTGAAGTATTTCAGCGTGTCAAAGGAGGCTTGAGTGAGCTCGGGAATCGGCCTGATTGACACTGCGCAAAATAAAACCCAAGTTAGATCTGAACAACAAGAAAGAAAGCTTAGAAACTATAAAGGAGAGCAAGAACTACTTCGTACCTAGGTTCCCAAACCTAGTGGGAACATCAAAGAAAGAACGACCAGACTCGTCCTTTGCCAGCCATTCCCCAGAGGCATAAAACCACTTCTTCACCCATCCTTTGATGGAGGTCGGCCCCTTAACTATTCCTCCTGCGCCCTTCCTTGCGCACATATAGTACCGACCAGGCTTATTGGCTATTCTCTTCGCTTCGAAGCACGCGAGGAGCTGATCAACATCCAACAGCTCGGCCTCTTCGTTGTCCCGAGCTCGTAACCAAAAAAGGATGGCCAAAGCAAAAATGACACTCTACCCATTGGGGGCCACTTGAGCTGGAGCCAACCCGGTTCGGAAAAGAAACTCTTGAACGAAAGGGTGAAGAGGAAGCCTGAGGCCGTACTCAAACATCTTGATGTAAAGAGTGACCCATCCTCTGGAGGATTGTCAGCTCTTTCCCCCTCCTCCGGAATCCTGAGGAGGATGTTCTCTGGGATAGCGAACCCCCTGCGAAGGGGTCCGAGGTAGTGCTCAGGTATCCTAGAAGGGTATTCCAAACCCTGACCCGAGGTGGAAGCATCACTATCCTCCTCCTCGTCGGAGAACCTAAAGTTTTCTATCTCCTCGAGCTTGGACTCTAACCTACGAGCTAAATTTTCATCGGATCCTAAGCTACTGCTAAAGGAAGAAGACATGGGGACTACGCTTGAAAAAGAAAGTGAAAGAGGGAAAGAGATCGACCTACCAAGGGTTCGAGCTGCCTTCAGATCGAACTCCAAGAATTCAGGAAGCGTAAGGTATGACCTGAAGGATTGGGGATATTTATAGCTCATCTGAAAAATTTCTCCACCCTACACGTGTAATCAACGAGCGGCTAGGATCATCTCGAAATCTGAAACGTCGGAATATTTGAATGCTCCGACGACATATCTACCGCAACGGTCACGTTCTCTCCACAAATTGGAAGTCGCCACGTGTCCAAAATGAAGTCGAATGAACTTCTCTGCCAGGTCGAGATCGAACCAGACAGAGAGGGGGTCAATGTTTGGGTGTAACAATATCTTGGACACGTGGAGGACAGCCATTGGTGCTTCAAAGATGATTGGAGAGCCAGGTCGAGATCGACCCAATGAGAGGACCGGACACCGCTATTAAGGCTAAGTATAAAAGGCCGAGGTGCGACCTGGTCGCGGTCCGACCTACCGTATGTCCCGACACGTCCGATGTGAGGGAAGATAAGTAACCGTCGGCTGCGTGATTGTCGGGAGTAACCGTCAGTCGCGAGATTGTCTGGTATAACCGTCGCGAGATTGTCGGGTATGCCACCCATAAATAGAGGGCTTCACTTCACACTCAGGTAACGAAATCCATCTCGAACTAAACCGAGAACCCGACTTATACTGACTTGAGCGTCGGAGTGTTTGCCTTCTTGTGCAGGTCCGCTCAGGTGTACAGGTCGGGCCGGAGACCGGGTTCGAGCTGGGTTCAAGAAAGGACAGTTGTGCATATCCTTGCATAAACAGGATGTACGACCATTAACGATAAGTCAATCCGTCACAAGTGCTCATAACTCTAGTTGGGTCAAATTAACGTTTTACCCCTAAGTTATATCTAGCTCTTTAAATACTACAGCTCCTCTAATGAACAACCAAGTTACGACCCGACCAATAACCGAAAGTCACTCAGAGGTCAGTGAAAGGGTGTGGCCCCTTGTTCAAGTCCCGGAGTAATATGTAAGGGAACATTCATCGACTTCCCGTAAAGTCGGGAACGAGTGAATTCCATCTTGCGTAGTTATATTCCCAGCAACTCGAGCCACTCTCACCCATACAAATCAAAGGATGATCCTTATAGGCAAGAGTCTGTAACTCGCTTAAGATTAATATCGAGTTACCTGATCATCCTATGAAAAGAGAAAAAAAAAAGAAAAGGTTTTAAAAAATGTAATATTAAATAGATATATAAGTTATCGATACTTAGAATGTTAAAAATATATATATATATATATATAAAAGAAATTCATTTAATGCAACTGACGCATGGGTTAGTTAAAAAAAAAACTTTTTTTGAACTAGCCCTTTGAGTGAGGTTTATAAATTTATTATTATTATTAATAAATTAGTGAGTCAAATTTCTATATCTACTCTTTGAGAGAGTTTCGTAAGGTTATTCTCAAATTCCATTTTCTTTGTAATGGTTGCTTGAGCCCGAAAAAGAGAGTTGTAACAGGTTGATCATAAACTGTGGAAAGGATCGAGTTTCTTCTTAGACTTTGTA